CTTTCAAGGTTGTGCGTGAAAGCCCGTGAAATGATCATGTGATGCTGGCACAGACCCTCTTTCAGTACTAAATTGTGCATGCTCAGGACAAATTTTGCGAAACAATCGTGATGTCAACGCGTACTCCTCCACGCAACAATGGAATCACGTTACAGCCAACACAAGATTGCGTTTTAGAAATAGCTTTCCCCTATTCATCAGCCGCGTTATAGCCAATTTGCATTGCCAGAACACAAGTTATAGCAGAATCGACTGTAGTTTGGTCAGTGTTGCCTTGAATGTAACCAGACAATCAGTTCAAGGTTCTGTGCAGTCTTGATAGGCTACATGTAGAATTTGAATTCTTTTCAAGTGATCTTCCAGAAGCATAACAATATGCTACCAAAACATGAAAGGCTTCTGTAAGTTGCAGATTTTTTTCTTCTAGACAGCTAATTGGTTTGTTTAGGAGGCATTCACAATGTACAATTGCATACCTTTTAGTTTACTAGAAAAGGTGACAATCCACCAGATGTTTCTGCTGCCCGTCCTATGGTGATGAATTTTCAATGAAAAAAAGTAGATAACGAATATTAGTCTCCAGTAATTTTCCGAATATTTTACCCTTGTATTTTAAATACGCTGTGATTATCTTAGAATATTAAATGACATGGCTATTTTAAGGAATGAAAGCTATTGTTTAGCTGGTAGAAGGTTTTACTATCACAACAACGCGCATAAGAACAAATTTGGTTTGTTTTCACATGCTGAATAGTTTGCTTCGATGAAGACCTCTTGCTAATTTCCTCATTGTTTGCCTTTTATTAAATACTGCAACAAATGCATTTTAAAATTACTTCTGAAATTTACTGTCTCTGACTAAAATCACAAAATAGCTTCCAACAGTGTCACAGCAAACATGAAGAAATATAATCTTATTGATACCTTTGTCACTTTGTGTGGGGGAAAAATATGCAATCTAAGACACTTTTTAATGGCTAAAACAACATCATCCTGTATGCATTTTGTACTCCAGATGTTGCTTGCTGACTATCATTTGTAACATTCACAGAATGGTGGGTGCACTAACCTGAGTTTGGAATGAGTTGAACATTTTTCTAAGAGTTTCCTCCAAATCACAATGAGACTTGGACTGTGGTCTGGACTGTTATCTGTTTAACAATTGGACTTTGTTCCCTGAAAGAGAGAGAGCTTCTTCATCTTGGCAACAGAACAATGCATTGTGTATTATTCCCCTCCATTTTAAAAATTGATTAATTGACTAGCTATTTACACCATAGATCTCTTTAAAAAGCAAAGGTTAATTCAAGTATTTGGCTCCAGGTTGTGATTAATTTATTCCATGAAAACTGTTTACTCCACGAAAGTGAAGCTGAAAGTGCAAGAGTTTTAGTAGTCAATGCTAAACATGTCAAACCAATTCAAAATGCTAATCACCAAAACTAAGAGGTGGTTGAATCCCCTGGCTGAAACTGTGGAATGCGAGTGCAAGAAAGTTATGCTTGACTGTATGGTGGTCTGTGCAGACTGCATCTTGAGTACATTGTTCACTTTTGTTTATCACGGAACTTACAAGCAGCACAAAGTGGACCTAAGATGCTGGTTTCTATTGTTAGCACTCTTAATTCATTAGAAGATTGGTGAGACATGGGAATTTGAGCCTGGAAAAGGATCATCTGCAGGGGTACAACACCATTGAGGAAATGAAAATGGTTTCTGTAATAGCCTAAAGAGGTGCAATTTCCAACAATTTTAGATTGAATTGACCAAGTTGATTTGAAACTGCGAAGAGTAGTCCAAGTCTGGCTCGCTTAGTTGGAATTTTTTGAGGAGGTCTTTGGCATGAGTGTTGCCTATGTAGATTTTCAGAAGACAAGTTTAATGAAGTCCCTTGATTATTAAAAATGAAAGGGTATCTAAATGAACACACTGTATAGCTATGTATACCACAGAACTCTTGAAAATTAAAGCCTAGACTCTAGGCCCAAAACGTCAGCCTTCCTGCTCCTCTGATGCTGCTTGGCCTGCTGTGTTCATCCAGCTCTACACCTTGTTATCTCAGATTTTCCAGCATCTGCAGTTTCTACTATCTCTGATAAAGAGAATGCATTCTGATTTGCAGGGCATAACCAGTCATATTCCTAAGGGTTCTGTTCTTGAATGAAACTATAAGGAATTGTATATATTAGAGGGTGTGGAAAGTAGTGTATAGAAAGAAGCTACAAAGATACTTGAATACACTAAGTGGACAAATCAGTGGCCATTCAAGTTCAGTGTGGAGTCGCTACTTCCAGATCCAAGAAGATTAAATCAGACTATTTCAGAGAGACGTAAAAGAACAGTTGGAATTTTGGGGTCCATTTATACAGATCTCTTAATGGTATCTTGCTCTTGAGAGTTGGTGTACAAAAGTGAGGATGTGGTGCCTCATTTCTACAGGATCTTGGTGAAACTTCAGTTGAAGTACAGTATCCCTATTCAGTCCCAAACCTCAGGAGAAATGTGTTCATCCTCAGAGGTGCAGTCCTATTTCACCAGAGTTTGAGCTTGAGGGTCAAAGTGAGGGCAGGTTGCCTGATCTTGACTTATGCTCTTTCAAGTATAGAACATTAAGTAGTATAATCAATATCTTTAAACTAAGGTTTGATATAATAGACTCAAAAACATTTTCCTCTGGAGCAAGGCTGTACAGTCACTGGAGTGAAAGTGCACACTGTAGATTGTGGTATAAAAGTCAAACCTTTTCTTACAGCCCCAAAAATTATGTATATACTTACCATATGCCTCAACCTGTCTTTCTTCGGCCATGACATAATATACTCCTACTCATAAGCTCAAATTTTCCCAATGAAACATGGATATTTTGTTTACTGACTGCCTACATCCTGTTCTAAGCAATCCAACAGGTTATGGGGCTGTATTCTGAAGGTGCATGATTTGTGGCTCAAGCGTAAGTCACTGCTGATGAAGAATGCAACAGTACCTCACTTACTCTGTGGAGCACTGTTACTGTTTCCCTCAGTAGCTACACTGACTTAAATATGCTTACTTCTGCATCACCATTTGATGAAAACTGCATTTGTGGATTTGTAGTTGCTAGTACAGGTGCGCAGCTTTAGCTTTTATACAGCCCTAACCCAGAGCAAAAGTTTGAGGTCTAAATTTGCCACTCGTCAGTTCTTTTTTATTCATGTGTTTGTTCAAACTATATGCATTTCAAAATTGACACTTTATTTTCCCACATGTAAGCGTGTGTTTTTATGAACTTACAGTTTTATTAGAGCAGGTTTGAATGCATGCTATGGTTTTGAAATTCTGTCTAAATAATGCATGTAGCTGTAGAATGGGTTATTATGTAAAACTGACCAGTTTTTGAAATGCAAACTTTTTTTTTCTTAGCAAGTAATGGATGGTAGCTATGTTGCTTTTTTTTTTATAGGACAAGGTTGCTGGCTAGGCTATCATTTGTTACCCATCTCTAATTGCCCTTGAGAAAGTGTTTTTGTCTCATTGCCCGGACTGCAGTTAGGGAGTTGCAGAATTGTGATCCAGGGACAGTGGTATTGTTTTGGATCAGGATGGTGTGTGGTTTTAGCAGCTGGGGGTGGGGAGATGCAGGCACGCAACTGCACGTGGTAATTTGGCGTGCACTGACTGCCCTTGTCCCTCTAGGTGCCCGAGATCATGGGCTTGGAAGCTGCTTTCAAAAGAGTCTTTGTGAATTGTTACAGTACATCTTGTAGCTGATGAACATTACTGCCACTGTGGGCTGGTGTATAGTGAAAGGAGTGAACGCTTAATTGGCGAATAGGGTACCAATCAAGCAAGCTGCTTTGTCCTGCATGGAGTTGACCTTCAGTGTTGAAGCCAAACTGATTCAAATAGGTAGGAGCGTCTGTCTTGTATATAGAGCGCAGGCTTTTGGGGAGTCAGGAGATGTGGTTATTTACTGTAGAATTCCCAGCCTTTGACCTGCTCTTGTAGTCACAATTTTATAGGGATGTTCCTGTTCAGTTTCTAGTCAACGGTAACCCCTAGGATGTTGATTCTGGGGAAATTGAACAGTGTTAATGTCATTGAATGGCAAGGGGACACTGTTAGATTCTCTCTTGTTGGAAATGGCCATTGCCCAGCCCTTAGAAGGCATGAATGTTACAGCCCAAACCTGGATGTTGTCCAGACTTAGCCATGTACAACAATTAACTGCTTCACTGTCAGCGGAGTTAGAAATGGTGCTGACTGTTATGCACTGGCTAGCAAACATTCCAACTTTTAACTTAATGTTAGGAGAGTGGTTATTTTTGAAGCAGCTGAAGATGTTTGGGCCAAGGGCATACTCTGAGGAACACTGCAGTAATATTTTTATAACTTGAGGTGATTGATCTTCACGATTCACCTACTTCCTGCGTGCCAGCTATGATTCCAATCAGTGAAGAGCATTTCCTATGATTTTCCATTGACTTCCATTTTGCTAAGGTTCCTTAATACCATGCTCATGTAAATTTTATCTTGGTGCCATGATCTCCGTCCCTCTTCAGTTGAGTGCTCTCTTCCAAGTTTGGATGAAACATTTGTTGAAGTTATGAGCTGAGTAGCCTGGTAGAATTGAAACTGAGCATTTTATTGCTTAGGGTTACTTGATAACATTGTCACAACACCTTCCATCACTTAGAGTTGGCTGGTGGATGAGTAATTAGATCGATTAGATTTGTCCTGCTTTTAACATAGGCTGTTAGTAGTTGCCAGTTGTACTGTTGCTGCATAAATTTGAAATTTTGTGTAACTGAATCCTGTTTCTCTGTAACTGTTACATTCCCTTGTGTAATATTGGTAACTGTGACATTCATAGCGTAGACTATATGTGCTTGCTGTGTTAGTCCGGATCTGAATACGTTCAGCATAAAGATTGTTTTCATCTTTTAACCACTTTAAAACAAAGATAACTTTCAGGCTTTGACTCTGAGCAGTCTTTTAAGAAACAAATGTGACCTTTTTTCTTGTATTTGCAGATGTTCCTGCACCTGAACAAGAAAAGCTTTTTATTCAAAAACTGCGTCAGTGTTGTGTCCTTTTTGACTTTATTGCTGATCCACTTAGTGATTTGAAATGGAAGGAAGTGAAAAGGGCTGCTTTGAGCGAAATGGTGGAATATATCACACACAACCGCAACGTTATCACAGAACCTATTTACCCAGAAGTAGTACATGTGGTAAGTAATTTGTCGGCATAATTACTGTACTATCCTTGACCAGGGATAACTAGTTAACATTTGATAGCGAGTGAACATGTAGATTTTATCGATTTATGTCTGTAAAAATTACTTTAATTTGGCTGCCAATGGAAAAAGTAAAAATACTCCAAATGAAATTTGTCACACTGGCACCACTAAAGTTGAACTTGTCAATTTGGGATTTGAATAATATTCCTGCAGAACTATACACCGTACTCCAAATTAATGGCTTTGTAAATGTTCACGCATGCATACTGAATCATAAATAGAAATAAGTGCTGGAGGGATGAGGGATGGGCTAGAAATGCTGCCCAGCCAGTGATGCCCACATCCCACAAATGAATAGGAGAAAAAAGCAATTCAGAAGGCCTGACAGCAACTGTAGAGAGAGAACCATGTTTCAAGTCTAATGTGACTCTTCAGAATTGAAGATAGCTGGAAAAGTAGAAAAGGGGGATCAAATAGCAAATGGTACAGTTGGTAAGGGTGCCCAAGGTCAATAGGCAATGGAGTGTGCTAATGGCTGCAGAAAAGAGATTGTTGTTAAAATGGAGGACAGAGATTGTGACCTAAAGTTGTTGAACTCTGAAGTGCCTAATTGGAAAATGATGTGCTGTTTCTCCAATTTGCATTGGACTTCAGTGGAACACTGCAGCAGCCCTTGAGCACAAATGTTACCCTGTAATGAAGTAATTTATGAAAATGGCAAGCAACTGGAAGGTCGAGGTCTTTCTCATAGACAAAGCAGAGGTGTACCACGAAACTGTCACCCATTCTGTATTGGTCTTCCTATGGTGTAGAGGAGGCTGCATTGAGTGTAGCCAGACTGTTAATTCAGAGACCCAGATAGTGGTCTGGGGATGCAGGTTCGAATCCCACCACAGCAGATGGTGGAATTTGAATTCAGTGATTTCCTTGTACTCTTTATATTCATTTGCAGGATGAGGCCATCACCAGCCAGGCTAGCATTTATTACCCATCACTAATTGCCCAGAGGGCAGCTAAGAATCAACCACACTGCTGAGAGCCAGGAGTCACGTGTACACCAGACCAGGGCAGGATGGCAGTTTCCTGTCTAATGTTGACCACTAATCCATTGATTTTTCAGGAAAGATCCATCTGGTTCACTAACCCTTTAGGGAAGGAAACTGCCATCCTGCCCTGGTCTGGCGTACATGTGACTCCAGACTCTCAGCAGTGCGGTTGATTCTTAACTGCCCTCTAGACAATTAGTGATGGGTAATAAATGCTAGCCTGGCTGGTGATGCCCTCATCCTGCAAATGAATATAAAAAGTACAAGGAAATCACTGCGTCACCGCGAAGTGTGTTAGGGGCCTTGGATAGAGAAGAGGGAGAAGAAAATGATCAAACTGTTACACGTTCAGCGATTTGCATAGGAGGGTTAAAGAGGTGTTAGGAGGGATAGAGGACAAGGTGTCATGGAGAGAATTGTCCCTGCAGCATATCAGCATAGGAGGGGAGGATATGTCGTGGTGGTAGCCTGAGTGAGGTGGCAGAAATGATTGAGGTGGTCCTTGAATGTAGACGGTGGTGGTGTGGAAAATGTGGACTGTAAGAAGAACACTATTGTTCTCAATGGGGGCAAGAGATGAGGGCAGAAGTATGGGAAATGAATTGGACACTGCTAAAGGTGAGGAATAGGCTCCCTGTAATTTCACTCCACCCTGTCCCCCCCAAATGGATCCTTGAGGTTTGCGTGCGGTAGGAGCTTCCAGAATCTGAAGTCAATGTGTTGGCATACGAATTGGCATGTGCGGAACCTCTGAGTAGCTGTGCAACTATGCGGCTTAAAGGAGTGATGGTGAGGAAATGTAATTAAGGTGACTGTGAGAGTTGGTGCATTTGTAGTGGGTATGAGTGGACAATCTGTCCCCAGAAATAAAACAAGAGATGTCAAGGAAGGGAAGAGTCAAAGATTGTCCAGGAGAAGGTGAGAGAAAGCTAGAAATTGGAAGCAAAATTGATTAATTTTTCCAATTTCGGATGAAAGCAGTCATCACGTACTAGAGAAAAGGTTGTGAGAGGATCCCCACAAAGGAACATACATAACTGAGACTCGAGGAGGTACTCTTTTAACTTGGAGAAAGTGAGATGAGTAAAAAGAGAAATTATTTAAACTGAGAATGAGTGCAGCCAGGCAGGGGAGGGTGATAGTAAATGGGGACTGTTCTGACCTCCTTTCCACGTAGAAACTGAGATCTCGCAGACAATCCTAATAGATGATAGACATGTAGAGGAAATGCCATCCATGGTGGAGGGGAGGCAGCTGGAGGCAAGAAGTCGGAAATTGTGGAGCTGACATAAAGTGTCAGGAATCATGTATAGATGGAAAGAGATTAGATAATAGAGCAGGGGGGTGGAAACGGTAGAGACAAGATGGGGGGGAAAACGTAAGTTCAATAAGGCAGGAGCAGGCTGGAAAGATATATCTGTCAGAGCAATCATGTTTGTGGATTTTGGGAAGATGATGATGATTTTGGGGTTAGGAGATCTCCCAGAGGAGATGAGGTAAAATGACGTAATAGAAACGATAGCTTGATGTTCAGTGTTGGGGTGGTACAGTGAAGATAAGTGGGGTCTGACAGTCGGCACTCAGTTTCTGCAAGGTAGAGGTCAGTGTGCCAAATGACAATGTTACCACCTTTGTTAGCAGATTTGTTTACAAAGTCAGGATTAGACCTGAAAGAAGAGGGTGTGACAATTTCAGACGAAGACGGGCAGTATTCTTCTAAGATGCATGTGTGGTTCCGGAATTTGCTGCTGTGTATCAAGATCTGCCCGTAAGTGGGGGGAGAAAGAAGAAAATTTAGTGCGAGTGCTAGAGACAGGCTAGAGTAGATGAGGGGAGCAGAGCATTTAAGGCAACATATGTTGTCATGTGATGAAAAAAGTCTTGTTATTTTAAGTGGTAATCCAGTCATTTATCACAAAATAAAATATAGATCATTCTTAAAGATGCAGATTAATCATTTAATCATAACTCCAATTAGACCTCACATTTTGCAGCTACTTACCACAGGTATCAATGTAAGCTAGCATTGTAAAGAAGACAAGGCATGAAATCTTCCAATATCTGTTCGTAGCAAAGGTGATAAAATAATTTTATGACTGTATTTCGACCAAAAACATTAACGAAACAGCATGAAGATGATATAACATAATTAATAATAAACTCGAAATCTTAATTTCTTCACCTATTTAGTAGAAGCTTCATTTTTTTAAAAAAAATAAGACTCAAAAGTAGGCAGCATTGTAAATTGTAAGACCTGGAGCTCAATGCCAATATGTTCAGTGTGCACTCTTGTATTGGAATTAAAAGAGCAAGTTACAGATCTGTAAAGTAAAAAGATGGATTATGGCATTTCAGGTGTTTACCTTTTACAAAAACTGAAGACTAGAAGTTATGCAAGTGTTTCAGTTATGGATAGCCGATCGAGCAATCACAGGAAGGAAGTGGTGGGTTAATGACTTGCAAGCTGCTTAGTAGTCCAAGGATAATGTGTGGTACTGTGATTAAGAAAGAATAACTGTGTCAATGAATGGAGAGAGTGTCATTGGAAATATACCTACCAAAAAACATGAAAAAATATTATTCAATGTATTCTTAAGAGAAAGGCAGGCCCATATTAGAGATAGCAAGAGCTGCAGATGCTGGAGTCAGACATAACACAGCAGGCCAGGCAGCATCAGAGGAGCAGGAAAGGTGACATTTCGGGTCAGGACCCTTCTACAGAAATGAAAAAGAGTCCTGATCCGAAACATTAACTTTCCTGCTCCTCTGATGCTGCCTGGCCTGCTGTCTTCCTCCAGCTCCATAATGTGTTAAGGCAGGCCCATATTTTGGTTTTTACTTTTGGCTGTGCTGCTCTGACTTTAGAGTCTGCAGTTTAAATGTGTCACTCCTCCCTTGTACATAGGTTCTACATCGCAAGAATCACAACAGAGAATTTGGCTAAGATTTGAAGTTGGAAATGTAGAAAATAGGAGTAGGCATAGGCCCTTTAGCCATTCAAGCCTGCTATGCCATTCATTATGATCATGGTTGATCATCCAATTCAATAGCCTCTTCCCACTTTTCCCCCATTATCCTTGATCCCTTTAGCTGCAAGAGCAATAATCCAACTCCTTGAAATAACATTGTTCAGGTATTTCTGAGGTGTGTTTTGAGTTTCATTGAAATAATATAAGAGATTGAGGACAGTCCATGTGGGAATGCAAAGGCACAGTTTTGGACTACACATGCTGGTAAGACAGCTACGTTCAGTGAAGTAATTATTTAATCTGTTTTGGTCTGCTCAGTGCAGAGGACACTGCAACAAACAGTGAATATTATATTGGATTGAAGTGCGTGTGAATTGCCTCATGGAAGGAGTGCTTTCAAGTCTTTGAGTGACCTGGAATTAAATATGTGGTAGTATTGTTCAATTTCCTACTGACGTCATTCTAGAAAGTAACAGCGAAAGGATGGTTGCAATTAAGTGATTAAAACACTGAAAAGAGGGTCTTGTCCCTTTAGAAAGCAGAATTTTGAGAGAAAAATGTATTTGGTAGGGAAATCTTGTTAGATGATGAAAGCCGTCAAATTGTAATGGGTAGGTAATCACAATTAAGACCTGATTTCATTAGCAGGGGTATGTGTTAAATGTAGAAACTTGGGAGCTAAAATTATATTTTTACTTAATAATGAAACAAAAGACAAATTGATTCAAGAGACACATGTCTTTTAGATTTATTGGAGCAAATGGGTTTAGGGTTCAATTGGGAAACTATTCTGCAGGGAAAGAATCAATAGGTCACCTGTCAAAATTTGAATAATTCGGAGTTTTTAATCTATCAAAATGGCTTTGAAGTTATGCCTTTCATCTAAATCTTCAAAGAGTAAAGTTTGTTGCATATGCCTCCAATTATACAGTACTACGTTGATTTAAATCAAGCCAAAATGGATTGTAGTGCACATTAAGCAATTGATTGGCAAACTATAAAATTCACATTGTGGTTTTATCAAAGTTTCCATCACCACTGTCAAAATTCAGTTTTATTTGGCATCCATCCAATATCCGTAATAGCTCTTAAAAAAAACTTTGCAATTTCAGAATCAAAACATAAAAACCAAGCTATTCTATTTGGCATCTATTGTGCATATAAAGAGAATGAAATCACAATATAAATTAAATATTGAATATTTTTATCATTACTTTGAATTCTTTTAATTCATGTAAATCATTGCTGTTTTAAAGTTAGGCTGAATAGTTTTGGATTACTCAGCTAAGAGCTGGTACAGATACAATTGACTAACTTTTTGTACTGTAAATGTCTATGATTTTGGACATATCACACAGTTTTTAAAATTTTTACAACAGTGGGTCCTCATATGAAGGTATTAAAATAATATAACATCCCTTAGCACTTCATGCATTACAATGCAAAAATATGACAGAGACACGCATGCATTTGCTTGGTCAAAAAGGTAGGTTTTAAGGATTATCTTATGGAGAATGGGGAGGTGTAGAGAGATTTCCAAATCCTAGGGCATGCCAAGTGAATGCTTGCCACCAGTGGGAGAATGATTAAAATACAAGGTGTCAAGAAATGGAGAAGTGCAAAATTAGCGATTTGTGATTAGATAGAAATAATGATAATTGGGAAAAAAATGAGAATTTTAATATTGGGCCTGGCTAAACAGTTTCTCAATGTAAGTCAATGAGCTCAAGATTGATGGTTGAGTGTAACTTAAGACAATCTGGGTGATAGGCCTTAGAGTTTTGGATGTTGTCATATTTTCGGCAGGAATATTTAAAGGCCAGATGTGCACTGAAAAATTAAGTCTAGCAGTAACAGACCTGGATGAAGGTTTCATCAGCAGAGATGTAATGAGGCAGGGTCAGGGTTGGGTGATGTTATTGGAAGTACTATGTAATAGTCTTTATGATGAATTAAGGCAGCTGTGGTGTAGTTCAGACAACATTGTCATCTGTTCTGTATGTCTTGCTGTCCCTCCAGGAGCCTGTAGATAAACGCTTTGAGTTGCCTCATGCCTTCAGCAAACCACCTCGATCCATTGACCCTCTGTGGATTCTTCTTGTAAGACACTGAGGTTTGCTCTCCCTGCATCAGTGAAAACTGCAATTTACAGGATAACCACCACCTTTTGAGAGCACTTAACTTTTCGTCAGAACACACACTGCAACAGGTTTTGGAGTATACAGTGTGAAATGCTCAAGATTTTGCCGCTCCAGATCTGAGGCTACTCAATGCAGAAACTTCATAACCCATCTCCAACTTTGTCCTCTTTTAGGTTACTGAAGTTCACTTTTTTTGCATCTTGCACTAGTAAAGAATTAGTTTCTTTTGAGAACAATTAAAATTGTTTTCTTGGGGTCTTTTTGTATGTTTTAGTCTGTGTGTTTGTAAAGAAATAGTATTCTGTTGCAAATACGATATTTAGCTACTAAAGATTAAATCCGAATATCAGATGTTGACAGTTCTACCCAGTCAGGAGTGTTTAAAAAATAAGAGATTTTTTTAATAACCACAAGTGATGTAACAATGCTTAACATGTTACATTGTTGCAATCTACATTCTGGTCCTCATATCACATCTTTAGTTTATACATGCATAACAGTATAGAAATTTTGTTGGGTTTTCTTCAATGGCCTAATTTCATTTACTTAAAATAGTTTGATAAGGCAGATACTTATCAATACACTGATCTGAATTTTGTCTTTGTTGGAGCATCATTTGTAGCTTGTGTACAAACAATATTTTAATTTTAAAATTAATGTTACAAGCTAGTACCATTTAGTTTTGAACTAGAATGAGACATTAGAATTTCTAAAATACTTTTTCAGTAGCTGAACTGTACCAAAATGTTTTTTTTTATCAAATGTTAAACACTGCTGATCTCTGGAATACCTTTTCAGTTTGCAGTGAACATGTTTCGAACGTTACCACCGTCCTCTAACCCTACGGGAGCAGAGTTTGATCCTGAAGAGGATGAACCAACGCTGGAGGCTGCGTGGCCTCATCTACAGGTACTGAATGCTTATCTATAGTCATGCATTACGTTGACAACCAAAGAAGAGAGTCTTATTTCATAGATGCCTTTTAAATTTTTTTTTGGAAACTTTTATTTCTTTTCTTGTCTTTTGAAACCTGTTGTGAATTTTCTTTAATTATTATTGTCATACTGAGAAATTTTGGCAGTATGTAAATGTTTACAACTGTGAAGGACTGCTTAAATATCATTTAGTGACATGTCACACATGAGCTGTTGTTAATCTGAAAAGATGCATTTGATTTCATGTTTCCTGTTCATTTGCTGAATACAGCGGTACATACTTTCCCTGATGTGGATAATGACCTTGAAGCAGTGTGGTTTTGGAATCATCATGAGACCATTTTGCTGAGGAGGTCTTTCAGTGGTGCAGAGGAAATATTTTTCTGGACCATGCCCTGTTGTCACTGATTTGTCTACACTTATGAGACAGTTTTGGTTGTGTTTTGTGTACTTCAGATTTTTTTAAACATGTGAATTTGTGTGTTTACATTTAAAATTTTGATCTACTGAGATCCATGCCTGGCAAATTTGCTAGATCAACCAACGTGAACAGTTTGTTTCAAAGTCTGTCTTGGAATTTCATGCAGATTGTCCTACGGTAAACAATTAGAATGCTTGAAAGAAGTGGTTCCCAAACTTTGAAATTTGATTCTAACTCAGCCCACAGATTGATTCATAAAGGGAGAAAGCAGGTGGGGTGTACACTTGCCAGGGTAGACGTCAAAGAGCTAAGGGAGACAAAAGGGCCAAATGGACTCCTGTGTCTTATCGGTCTAAGATTCTGATTTCTGTAACATTATCAACTTATTTTAATTGATTATTGACACCGGTACTATATTGGGTGATTTAGATGTTGTCACATGACCTAATTGCCATCGGAGCAACTATCATGCAATCACAGTATAGGGTAAAGGATAATGACCACTTGCATTTATATAGTTCCTTTAATATAGAAAAATGCCCTAAGGTGCCTCACAGGAACTTAACTAAAAAATAGATACTGAACCAAAAAGCAGCCATTAGGAGTGGAATCGAAACTTGTTAAAAAGGTTTTTTGATAGAGGTGGTGGTGAACTGATGATGTTTAAGTAGATAACTTTGGAGAGGGCATTTATTGCTGAAAATATGTCTTTAAGGTCTTAATTGGGACTCCATTAACAAACACACAGAAATTGACCCCGTATACAGACCGCTGCTAAACAAAAACAGAACCGGAAGTGACAAGACCCACCACACCAGAGGATCGTATAAATTCAGAATAGAGCAGAACACCAACGCTTTGATTAGAGGTCGCACATGATGTTGCCTACAATGGTAATGAAATGTCTGCACAATTGGGAACAACAGCTTGGCGAGCAAACGAGCAACTGAAAATATGTCTGCCAATAATGAGCTGAAATGAGGAGGATATACAGTACAGGCTAGAGTAAAGAATAAAGCTTCAGAGAAGCTTGTGGTGTAAAAGAAAATTAAAATATGGAGTAGGACGTAACTTTGGAAGGGTAGCAGATCAGAAAATGCCAAAGACAATATTAGATTAACAGAATTTGCCAATGACAAGAATGGATTATATTTTCAGCAGCAAAAGTATAGAAATGCGTAGTGTTGGAAGTAGAAGTAAATGGTTTTTGTTACGGTATGTGCTTGGAAGCTCCGCTTGAATAGAGTGACATGGTTGCAAACAGTCTGGTTCAGTCTTAGATAGCAGACATGGAGTGGCATAGCCGGTGGTGACGGCCATAAGCAGTTAAATAAAGTTAGGTCTTATGCATGTCAGATTGTCTGACGAGTCCTACAGCTTAGTGATTCAAGCATAGTAATTAAGAGCAGGATTAGGTAATTTGGCCCTTCCAGCCACCTCTACTGTTCAATAGATGTAGCTGATCTGGTTGTGACCTTGTTCCAGCAACCACTGATAAACATTGACTCCCTTGTTGGTCAAGAATCTGTCTACATCTGGCATAAAAGTATTCAATGGTTTTGACTCAACTGCTCTCTGGGGAAGACTCATCACTCATGAGTTCCAAAGACTCATCACTCTCAAAGATTCCATGTTATCTCCATCTTAAATGGGAGGTCCCTCATTTTAAACTGTGTCCATCGTTCAAGTCCCTCCCACAAGGGGAAGCATTCTTTCAGCCTCCATTCTATCAAGTCCCCTCAAAATATATAAGTTTCATAGGGTTACATCTGATTCTTCTAAAATGTGGTGTGTATAGGCTCAGTTTTTCCAACCTTATAAATCACCCCAATCGTATACCAAATATCAATTAAGTGAGATAACAAAGTGTAGAGCTGGAGAAACACGGCAGGCCAGGCAGCATCGGAGGAACAGGAAAGCTGATGTTTTCGGTCAGGACCCTTCTTCAGAAATGGGGGAGGGGGGGAAGCTCAGAAATAAATAGAGAAGAGGGGTGAGGCTGGGGAAGGTAGGTGGGATAGTGATAGGTGAGAGCATGTAGGCAGTGGTCGGGATTAGTCAGTGAGGTGGGAGTGGCAGTGAAGATGGACAGGTTGTGTCAGGTCATGGAGGTGGGGACGTGAGGGAGGGTTGGTCGTGGGATGAGGCCGGGGGTGGGGAGATTTTGAAACTGGTAAAATCCACCTTTGGACTATAGGCACCGGAGGCAGAATATGAGGTGCTACTCCTCCAGTTTCCAGGTGGCGTCATTGTGACAATGGAGGAAGCCCAGGATGGACATGTCACAGTGGGAGTGGGAGGGGGAGTTAAAACTCTGTCTCCTTCCTACCTCTCTGTTTCCATCTCTGACGACCACCTTAGAACCAGCATCTATTTCAAGCCCACAAACTCCCACAGCTACCTAGACTGCACCTCCTCTCCCCCACCTTCCTGCAAGAATGTGATCCCTACACCCAATTCCTCTGCCTCCACCCCATCTGCTCCCAAGATGGGGCGTTCCACTCCCGCACATCCCAGATGTCCTCCTATTTCAAGGATGGTAACTTTCCCCCTCCAGTGATTGAAAATGCCCTCAAACGCATCTCTTGCTTTTCCCGCACCTTTGCCCTCACCTCCCCTCCCCCAACAAAAACAAAAATAAAGACAGAATCCCCCCTTGTCCTCACAAATCACCCCACCAACCTCCACATCCAACATATCATTCTCCGCCACTTTTGTCACGTACAATCCAACCCCACCCCTCTCTGCCTTTCATAGGGACTGCTCTCTCCATGACTCCCTCATCTGCTCCACAGTCCCAATTGACGCTACCACCCCCGGCACCTTTCCCTGCAACCGTAGAAAGTGCTACACCTGCCCCTACACCTCCCCCCTCACCTCCATTCAAGGCAAAAAGCAAACCTTCGACATTAGACGTGGGTTCACCTGCATATCCGTCAACTTGGTCTACTGTACCTGATGTGGCCTCCTGTGCGTTGGCGCAATCAAACGGAGACTCAGAAACCATCTTGTAGAGCAGCTGTGCTCTGTACGCAACAAACAACATTTCGGTCGCGAAACATTTTAACTGCATATCTTTGTAGCATTGGCAAATTTAGCCACTATGCATTCAGGCCCTTCTCCCGGTGGTACACCACTTGTCTCATCCAGCCAATCTTTTTGCCTGCCCTATGCTTCCAGTAGGTAACATTCCTCGATCCATGCTAATCTACTCCCCATACACTATGAACTTTTATTTTAGATTGTGACCTTTGTCACATGTCTTCTGGAAATCTAACTGCCGTGCATCCACCAGTTCTCCATTATTTCCATTGCTTGTTACTTCCTCAAATAACTCCAATAAGTCAGACATACATGGTTTCTCTTTCACAAAACAATAATGCCTCTGCCTGATGCATTGAGATTTTCTAAGTGCCCTGCTGCAACCCACATAATTATAGACTCCTGTATTTTTCCCATTATAGATGTCACGCTAACCGTTCTATAGCTTCCTGCTTTCTTTCTCCCTTCTTTCCTGAATAAAGGAGTCATTCACTGTTTTCCAATCTGATGGGACCTTTCCAGTTCCAGGGAGTTTTGGAAAATTTAAAATCAATGTTTACTATCCCGTCATTAAAATCCTAGGATGGTGTCCATCAAGGGGACAAGGAATTCAACTTAGATAGTGGATGGTGGAGCAAGGTGTAGTCATTGTAATCTGGAAGCTGACACCATGTGATATCACCAAGGGAGAAATGATGAATAGAGAGGTTCAAGTGTTCACCTTTGGTAGATGGCAAGAGAATCCATTCACAGAAATGCTGTTGTTACTACTAATTGGCAATAGTGAAACCATACAAGAAAAGAGTGGAGGTGAAGCATTTGAAGATTGGGCAGGATATTCAGGAAGCTACTTTTATCTATCATTTTTTTAAACTCTGCAAAACCCTATATACACTTAGCCCTGGTATAAAGAATGACTGCATAAGGGAGAAAGTAGAATTTGAGAGAGAGCTAGCAAGTAACACAAAAACAACTAAATTCTGTGAAAATAAAAATAGTATAATTAAAGCTAGTGTAAGTCAGTGTGACTCTCGGAATATGATAATGGGAGCCCAGGAAATGTGTCAAACCGAGTATTTTGAGTTTCAATGTGGAAGACTTAGAAAATTTTCCCAGACATTTGAAAATCAAGAAGTGAAAAGGAAGGAAGAACTTGAAAGGATCAAGAAAGGAAAGGTGTTGGAAAACTCTTGTTCCTAAAGCCTGACATGTCGCCAAGACCAGATGGCATCCATCCTAGGATCTAAAAGAGAGATGATGGACGTTGTAGAAGTCTTGGTTATAAACTTCAGAAATTCTACAGTGATATAGATGGGTTAACTGGGGGTGAAGTTTACAGGTGGAATGTAACATGAATGGAGAAATTGGCTCGTTGGCAGGAACAATAGAAAGACAGTTTGTGTGAAATAATATTTAAATGGCTAAAGGTTGCAAAACAGGTACAGGTAATTCTGGGTGACCTAATACATGAATCACAAAATGTTAGTTTGTAGGTACAGCAGATGATTAGA